TTAGCTTCATTATACTAATACAATATACGTAAAGTGAAAATTCTCTAACAGACGATAGTAACTTTCCAAGGATCGATCGTCAGAGACATGATCTGTGCTATTTATTCCGATATTTCGAACACAATTTTTTTCTTTTATTTTTTCACTGGCGCTCTATTCTTTATTTTCTTTGTTGCTATGCGCTCGTTATTTATTTTCTTTTTTTTATCCCATTTTTCTTAATTTACTATTATTATTATTATTATTATTGCAATTCTAACTATTGATTTAGCTAACGAATAAGCCTATTGTACACATCTATTATATCTACAAGAAGTTTCAACGCCCTATTATATACTTCGATAAACTCAGAAACACGGATATTGATTATTCTCGAAAGTTAGGACTTGATCAATTCATGCTTTCTGTGTTGGTCATACGACGACTGTGGCAAATCAATACATGACTAGCCATCATTCTCGATATCTATCATATAATTGTTTATCTGTGCAAAAATTAGATACTGTGCTATGTGAAATGTATTCTAACCATGTAAATTTCAAGAAAGACTTTGGAATTTTCTAGAACAGTCGCAGGTTTGTTGTTGATGCCGTTCAATACCTTTGCCCATTGCTAAGAAACTATGGAAAAGGAGTCTAGTGTTTGTTGTCGTTGGTTGATAGGAGAGAGAGTTCGTACTCAATGGCCTTTGACTTTGACTCCTTTTGCTAAGGCCGGTAATGGGGTGAGGAGAGCTACAAAACTTCGACTTAAACTGTACACTCACTATTTTCTTCGAAAACATATGTGTATTCCACAAAAAGGAAATAAATAAGGAACGAATAGCAATAAAGCAAATAAAAAAAACGAGCGTCGGTAAAAAAAAAAAAAAAAGAAAATTTCTGTTAGAAATGCAGGAATAGATAACACAGACCGTTTGTCTAACGATCGATTATTCTTGTAAAGTAACTATTATTTGTTAGAGATTTTTTAATTTGCGTATTTTGTATTAGTATAATGAGGCTGAAAACGATATGTGAATTCTACATTTTAGACAATTCCGGGCTGTACTGATAAGTTTTTCAATAAATGGCAAAATTTTTCATCGCTTTCAATGATTAAAATTTTGATTTGAATAATTCACATGATGTTTCTTATTTGAACACAGAAATGAAACAACAGTTTAGTGTTGTCAGTAACTTTAAAGGGTTAAATAATTTTTCGAAAAAGTATGAGCCATTTTACTTCGATCTATTTTCGCCTAAATGCATGTATTATCGAAAACATAAAAAATGAATGACCAGTCTTTTATGTGATGGGTATTAAAAATGATCAACAAATAAATTGAATATTATTTTATAACATATTGCATAAAATGAAAGAGAGACAATGATATTGTTACTTTCATCGTAAATTAAACTTCAAATAAATTTTAACATTAGAAAACAATAAATTTATATATTAGTTAATTTCTATATGTTAATAAAACTAACTCAATCTATTTGATGATCAATTTTATTATTTATCATATTTTCTATAATATAACAAGAACATTGAATCGCGTAAAATAAAGTATTTTTGTACCACAAAAATGTAAGAAATTGATTGTTAAGCAAAAAATTGAATAACAAACATCTCTGTATTATCTATATAAAATGAAAAAATGAATGAAAATAACAAACACAACAATTGGTAGAAGAGAAAGTACAATATCATACTAAGAACTATTTAGAAAGTGAAGAAAGTACAGAAATTACATAATGTACAACGTATGCGAAGTACATATACAAACAAATCGTGATGAATTCCGGTTCGTTCACAGCTGGTTGAAAGATACCAGAGCAGAAAAGAAAAAGGTATAACTTCGAATGAAATCTGATTGCTTTAAACCAGCAACGATAAGCTACATAAACTTTTGTGTATACAATGTATATGTAACTTATCTCGTTTATTTCAATCTTATCTTTAGTACACAGGAAAAGTTCGATAACTCATCAGATCAATATCAAAATTAATCTATTCGTGACACTATTTTTAGATACTTTTTCTAAGTTGATATTAGAAATTTTTGTATCTTAAAAGAATAATTATACTAAGATGGTGTTCACTTGTTTTGTCTGAGTGTAAATTTTTCGATTCAGCTTTATTCCGACAAGAATTTCATGATAAGATCGTTACAATCTCAACTTCAATTAGCTATTACAGTTCTCTATTACTTTTTCAAGAAAAACTGCGAATACCATTAGGTTGAGAATAATTTTCTCTATTAAATTGTATGAAAACGGTCTTTTGTCTCGACTAAAAATACATAACGTTTCATTTGATATTAATTCACTATTCTGTATACGTTTCGTTTGCTCTATCTGAGTAATAGTACTGCTAGTACTTCTTCCAAATTTCCATTTTTATCTCATATTATAAGAAAGTTCTATTATATACCTTTTCATTCTTTACTTTGATAAAAAGATTTGTTGTGTCGTGTCACATTCATATTTATTTCATCATGTTATATAAATATTATTATTTTGAACTTTTAGTTTATATTCCAAAATATATGATGATCGCGACATCTAGTATTTAAGTATATCGATTGATTCTTAATATGATCGAATCGTTATTCATCATCATTATCAGCATTCATTGAATCAGTGATAATTATACTGGTAGTGTTTAAATAGCAAATTTACTAAATAGAAGCAAGATGATGTATGAAATACTTGTTACATCCAATGTATACGTCATTGTTTTACTCTTTCATAATTACAATAGAGTGTGTATCATACATGTTGTAGAAAACATTTAATATTATGTCTCTCAAAATCGTACATTTTTTCACGATTCTTCTAAATCTTCTATGTTATTTATTCAAAATTTACTTTTTATCATTTATCGTATATTTATTCATAAAAAATCATTTTTTCAATTGTTTTCTTATTTTGAAAAATAATCCGAATTTTTTCTTATTTAGAAAAAAAAAGTTCCAATTTTCAACTTTTTAATCTTACAACTTTGCCAACAGTTGGAGATATATATTCTATTAATGATACAGTATATTTGACAATAAATGTTCTTCATCGAAATTAATAATGACAAATCATACCGATATACATACATTCAATTATCCATTTTGTTCTGTACTTAGTGATACAATTGATCAATATATCTCATTAGTTGTAACATATCATTTATATTTTGATTTCAATGTTTAAAAAAAACTATAATATCTGATGAATTTAAACAAACAGAATAAATTTGTAATAAAATGATTCGACAATTATTAAAAATATATGTTAAAAAATGCATTATTAATAAAAACTAACAAGTTTATGGATTACACATTGTATTTGATTAAATATATTCAGATTTATTTAAATAAATCTATCTGTTGATATCTACGTGATAAACCATCTACAGTCAATGGATATGAATATTCTATTAAATTTTGTGACAGTTCTCATGCAAAAACAAATTAACATGTTCATTGCTTTGTTATGGTTATGAATGAAGCTCTTGCGAAGTGTATTCAATAAATTGTTAGTTTTATTGATCCCGATAGAGAAAAGGTAAGATCAATTTACACAAACAATTATTTTTTGCGAATTGAAGTATAACATTTTGATAAAAAGATTTATTTTTTATAAAATAATATTCTTATATATTATTATTTAATCTTAACTATCAAAATTTTGAATTTAAAAAAAAAATAAATAAATCTTCTGAGTTTGCTAGTTTTTGCTCAATTTTTTAAAAATACTTATCATTGTGTCAGACATTCCTAGAATAAAAGATTTACTATTTTAAATATTAAATGAACAAGAGCAGTCGAAGAAATATTTTTGTTTGTCAATATCTAATCTTAGATATGCGAGCAATAAACAGGCAAATCTCAATGAAACAATTTTGAGTTATCAATGAAAAGAATTTTACTAAAATGTTTTAAAATGATTACGTGATAGTTTCCGGTCATCCATCCAGAAGTATTCTTAGCCAAAACCTGATTTATAGCGTTTCGGTATTTTAAATGATAGAAAACTGCAACTTTTATAATTTTACATAAAGAATTTAACAATATTTTTCACTTCTTAAATCTTGAAATTTGATTATCATGTTTAAACGGATGACCTTTTTTTTTCATTTCTTTCTTCGTTCTCGAAATCATTGCATCACAAAACACAAGATTTGATGCATATTTTACAAAGTACATTAACTTTGTTCATATCGTTAGTATGATGATGTTATGTCTATAGGGATCTATGAAAATTGATCGAACGAAAAATAGTCGAACGAAAATTGGTTGATACGAAAATTAGTCGCTACGAAAATTGATCGACGCGAAAAATAGTCGAGAAATTTATAATAAAAAGGAAAAACAAGAATTCTTTGACAAAATCGACAGCAGTGTGAAAAATAAAAAATATTAGTTTATAAACTGTCTCTAGTACTTAAAACTTTTTGCGTTAGTACCATGTACAAGTAAAGTGAATGCCGAGCTTTCTCGAAAACAACTGATTTAAAGGAAGAGAAAAAGTATAAATAAAGAATGGGTACAGGTATTGGGATGAGTCTTCTTCAACCCTATCACACACTCGCCCACACCCACATTCGCACTCTCGAAATGTTTTTTTTTTCTTGTTTTCACATTTATATCAGAATTATTTTGATATAATTTCATGAAAATCCGTGAATCTGACAATTTTAATTGTGAAAAGAAATTCTATTTCATATGCTGTATGTATCAGAAAAACATGCTTCGCTGTAGTGATCTGCATTTTGGTAATGGCGTCTTCTGCTTTCTTTTGTAATCTTTTAATTTATTCATCTCAGTTGAAGCTTTTATTTATTTATTTATTTTTTATTATGAATTTCTCGACTATATTTCGCTTCGACCAATTTTCGTCGAGCAATTTTCGTTCGAGCAATTTTCACTTTCCCGTGGACATGATGAAAATGATTATCGATTTTTAGTTAAAGGTGGTGAAGATATAGGACAAGATTAACGTATTCAAGCTTTATTTTTAATTATGAATGATTTTTATGATAATGATTCTAATTGTAATCAATCAAATTCAGCACATATTACTGTACAAACTTATGAAGGTAAACATGAGTAGAAAATTTTTTTATGTCAAGAAAAAAAAAATTATTTTTATTCAGTTATACCAATATCAACAAAATTAGGTATCATTGAATGGCTTGATAATACACGTCCATTAAAAGAATTTATTGAGGCAAATTATGCACAAGCTAAACATGATATTATTTCACAAGGTTAACATCCAAGAAAACTTTATCAAGATTATGTTACGAATGTATTTCAAAAAGCTAAACCAACAACTAAATCAACCAGTAATACAATTATGTATGCTGAATTATTTATTAGTTTAACAAAAGCACAAGTACAAGACGAATTTAATAAAATTCAATCTGTTACACCTAGTGATTTACTTCGACGTGCTTATTATAAAATGACTAATTCATATGAAGGATTTGATACATTACGTAGACAATTTATAACAAGTTTTGCTGTTTTATGTACAAGTCATTATATTCTTAGTATTGGTGATCGACATCAATCGAAGTATGTTTAATGTATAGAATATATTTTTTTAGTGAAGAATTATTTATTTATTTAGTTTTCTCATTGATACATCATCAGAATAAGTTATTGGTATTGATTTTGGTTCACCATTCAATGCTGCAACTATTGTAAGATTAAATTAAATTCTTAAAAACAAAATTATAAATGTATCTTTTAGCATTCATCTGTTCCCGAACTTATACCTATTCGTTTAACACGACAACTTATTCAATTAATGTCATCAATTAGTACCAATGGTCTATTTCGTGCAACGATGATTCATACAACGAGTGCTTTACGTGAAAATTCTGATTTATTACATAGTATAATGAATGTTTTTATCAAATAATCACTTATGGAATGGATGATAAATGTTTCTATTGTTTTATTTTTCTTTTATTATAATTCATTGATAGGAACATGCACTTAAAACAAGTAAACAAGTTTCCCAAACTAGTATGTTAGGATGAATATGAAAAATGTAAAAGAGATAATTATGTTTTTATTTTCTTTTTTTTTCAGAATGAACTACGATTTGTATTGATGATACATATACCAAAGATCGAATAAAAAGCGCACGATTGAAACTCAATGAAATTAATTCAGCAGTTATTACTGAGTATGCATGAGAGAAAGAGAGAAAGGCTAATTTATTGATCTATTTTCATTTTAGTTCTGATCTTAAATTAAATAATTTTCTTCATCCATCAAATTTGAAAGAAGCACTTGGTCAAATGGAAAAAGTAGTTGATGGTGATCAAACACAAAATAAACGTACACAAATTTTAATGCAATATAAATCAAATCGTTGTCATAAATTGACAGTTGATGAATAAATTAATTGTATTATTGATCAAGCAACTGATATCGATATACTTAGTCGATCCTAAACGGGCTTAGAAACATTTATCTAATTCAATGCACTTTTTCTATGATATTTATTTTCTTGTTGTTCTTTACATTCAAAACCTTTATTTTGACAAATAACCTATTTTCTCAGTACAGATAGTTAAATTGAAATTATTTTTTTTTATGTGTATGTGCACGACGATTCTTTTTTTTCTCATTGTGTAATTCGACTTACTCTTTTTCTGTCCAGTTTATAGTTCTGACTTTTTTGGTGAAATTAAATAATAGTATATAGACAATAATATTTCGATCAACAAATTAATTGCTTTAGAAAAACTCAAGTCAACAATGAAACAAGTTCACTGTTTTATTTTGAATTAAGATGACAGTATTGATTCTAAATATTCGATGATAAATATGAAGAATAAAGTTTAGGGATTAGAACCAGTTGACAAGATTTGTTGACATATATTAGCATTATTTTACATCTGCAATTAATCGAATAGTATGATACGATCCAATCTACAGTTGCTAGAAATGTTTTCTTTTCTGGAATGCGGATGTCGGTCGATGCAATGTAAAATTTCTTTTTCTTCTCCGCTCCCCTCCAGTTTCCACACTCACATCCACAGCTTAGGTATGGAGATTAGAAATAGGGAGGAAAATATCAAGATAGGGATATTAGATATAGGAGTGTATACAATGACTCGTCCATGAAAATTTTAGATTATGCATATGGAGTTATATATAGATATGATGTGTAGATAGGAATAAACATGCATGGATAAGGTATAGGTATGTTGGGACTAAGGATATATTGATTAGGAATAGGAACATAGATTATGTCTTTTGCAAAAGTCTTTGCACAAATTGTTCTTTCGTTTTTCGAATATGTGTTCAGAATTTTTTCCAATACAAGATCGGCTGACTGTGAGCTAATGATTAAAATGACACTAAATGTAGTTAATACAAATATTTATTAAAGAAGAATAAATTCTTAACAACATCGATCCATGACTATAATATGTAATTCGCAGTCATATTTTCAATGCTGTATAAAACATCATATTCTCAATCACCAGCTGATCCTTGTAACTGCAGCAAAACAATGAAATTGTCAATATACAGTTCTGTGAAAAATTATAGAATCACCCGTGTGAGTCAAATTGTTTGTTCTTTCTCTGCTAGTTTGGACTCTCGAGTGAAGCCGAATCTACGTGAATATATGCATTCGAGTATGCTCTATCCAAATATGAAATCAGATTCTTCAACGCTACTAGATGTGAGGAAAAACAAGTTTGTTGAAACTGGTCAATTCTTGCCTGTAAAAAATCACAGAATCACAATCACAATTTCGCTGTTTTTGTATCATGAGGATTTCAATTCTGATTGAAAGTTACATATAAAGATAGAGAAACTCCTGCTAAATATTTTCATTACAAAAATTTGAAAAACCGTTTATATCTGGATTTAAAATGAAGAGTTATTGATCAAGCCAAAATAGCTGGAAAAACCACCGGACTTTAGTAGTTTGCTAAGGGTATTTGAAATTTAAATGGCATTGATATTTCGACAATGGATTTTAATAGAAGACACTTTTTGCAACAAAATGATGGGTTCAAGAGCTTGGTACGCTATTTCGTAGCAGACACATACAGTGTCGAAAAAGATGAATCGTGTGTGCGAAAAAAGTACAGAAAATGGCTTAAAATAGGGGTGCAACAAATCCAATTTTTCTACATAAAGATTGTAAATTTTTGGCATGAAGACCCACCAAATTCAACCAAATCTTTGTGTCAACTATAACCAGTTTTATTTGCTCTACTCGATAATGGTGTAAAATGACCAAATCTATAAAAGAAACTGCTAAGATTTGGTCATTTTACACCATTATCGAGTAGAGCAAATAAAATTGGTTATAGTTGACACAAAGATTTGGTTAGATTTGGTGAGCCTTCATGCTAAAAATTTACAATCTTTATGTAGAAAAGTTGGATTTGTTGCACCCCTAGCTTAAAATCGTTGCATATTATCGTTGTCATTTTGACACCGTATGTATGCCTGGCATGAAATAGCGTACCAAGCTCTTGATCCCCTCATTTTATTGCAAAAAGTGTCTTCTATTAAAATCTGTTATCGAAATATCAATGCCACTTATATTTCAAATACCTTTAACAAACTACTGAAGTTCGGTGATCTTTTCCAGCTATTTTGGCTTGATCAATAACTTTCTCATACAGACGACTAACTATTTGTTTCACCCTGTTAGATGGTTGCTGTTGATATAATGATGACATTAACAATGACAATATTCAAATATTGATAAAGTTGATTGTCATATAATAACATTTAAAAAAAAATATTCATTTGATCATGTAGAATGTAATTTAGATCAGAGAAGGTTGAAAGAGAAGATTAATCATTAGAATATATTTTTGTTCATTTGACTTAATCAGACTTTTCATTTGATGAAAATATTTAGTTCAAATAATGCATCGAAATCTTGTGAGGCTGAGATGAAAATCATGAATGACATTCACTGAGACTATCTGAAATGACTTTTCACTGAAATTCATTTATGTAGAGAAACAAAAGTGCAGAAAGTAATATAATCATTTTTTGTTAATCTTTCTTTTGATTGATATGGAATATATTCATAATTATTAGATTTCATTACAGAAGAAAAAGATTATGCTGTACCTAGTTTATTTTATTGAAGAATTACAAATTCAATTTTATCGAAAAAAACAATTGTCAATTGACGAAATAATGATAAACAATTATTAATTGACGAAATAATGAAAACCAATTGTTAATTGACGAAATAATGAAAACTAATTGTTAATTGACGAAATAACGAAAAACAATTGTTAATTAAGTATACAAGATTTAGAGCAAAACAATATGAACTAAATTTAACAACAACTAGATCATTTCATTTTAGATAATTAATTTGATAAATAATAGACGAACATTATACTATATTGACCAAAAAAAACAGCTAGAGACACACCACCACCACCCATCAAACCTAAAAAACTAAATTTAAAATAAATTTAAAATAATAAATATTAGATAATACCATGATTTGTTGTTCTTTGAATATTTTTAAATTTGATTCACATGTTAAATATATTCAAGATGAGCTATACGTTTACATCATGTTCTTCATTTGTAAAAAGCCAAATCGATCATATCATATATGGACGAATATAATTGTCGTACATATTAACAAAATGAGCATATAATATATAAAAGACGAGTACAGCATATTGAATTAAAATAATGAATAATCTGAATCCGTTTCTAAACCAGGTTTTGAAACGTAATACTAAAAGAAAAAAATTCACGTGTTGCATCTACTATATGAATATACTAACAAAAAGATCGATTATCTTGAGGTGGTGGTCCTCTTCGTCTTGGAACGAAAGCATCATGAGGACGATTCTAAAATAAGCAAAACAATTTATAAGCTTTGAGACTTCGGAAATATTTCAATGATTTAAGATAATTATAGATAATCTGTATCCTTACTCTTCTTTGGCAGTTATAAGTGGGCATGATTTCGAGTGATAGATTTGATGATGTTACTGAATATAGTAAGAAAAACATAGGTATTTATAGCGACAAACATCTCTCTCTTTTCAAAACAATTAGAATATATGTATCGATCCCTGGATATTCTCTATCTTTTGAAAACATGTCGATAGAAAAGAAAAAATGTATGTATGGACGGGAAAGCGAAAATTTATCGAACGAAAATTGGTCGACTAAAATTGGCCGATACGAGAATTAGTCGACGCGAAAAATAGTCGAGAAATTCAAAAAAAAGAAAAAGAAAATAAAAGCTTCAACTGAGATGAATAAATTAAAAGATTACAAAAGAAAGCAGAAGACGCCATTACCAAAATGCAGATCACTACAGCGAAGCATGTTTTTCTGATACATACAGCATATGAAATAGAATTTCTTTTCACAATTAAAATTGTCAGATTCACAGATTTTCATGAAGTTATATCAAAATAATTTTTGAAATTATGTTCATTTTTTATGACTCGTCATCTAATCATCTGATTATGCACGTGGTATACCTTTGGCCTCTCCTCGCTCTCATCGAGTGATACCACTGTTGTTTGATAGAAAAAAGGCATACGTTAACGATAAATAGCTCAAGCAGTATCTTATAATTTTATTGTGGAAAGAGAAAAATTCAAAAAAATTTATATATTTTGTCGAAGGAAAATCGAATTAAATTCATTTTTATTTTGACACGTATTTCAAGTTAGTCTAAAAATTGTAAATATTGGTCGATTTTCGAGTTATATTATATTCTCTCGTTGGTTTTGTTCAATTGCTTTCGTAGAGCATCTTCATTCAATCAAATGTATGATGTTTCATTCTTGTTCATGTTTCAGAATCGTAGAAGAGAGAATCAATCTAATAAAGTTGTACAATTTCAATAACTCTGTTTTGCATGTGCATGTGCCATAAGACGTCTTCGAGAGAAAAAAAGTCATTTCATCAGACGAATGCTTATGCATGAAGAAAATAAGACATGAAACGCATGTAATCGAAAAGATTAGTTACGTTGAGAAATGTCTATTAAAATACTGTTGTATACTATAAAACAAATATTTTTAAAGTGAATCGCGAATCACTCAATATCTGCTGCTTACTTTAATGTGATTCTTAGTGAATCAATATAAAATTTAAATGAACATCATATCTTTTACCATATGTTATACTTGAAAAATTCAGAACACTTAGCTGATGTCAAATATTATTCTCATGAGAGAATAATCTTTGAAGAACCATAATCTGTTCTATCAAATTATTTGTTACAAACTTTCTAAATAATGAGAACTTTTGTCTATTTTTTTTGTTATTGGATCTAGTGATGAAAACAATACATTTTTTTTCTATTTCTTATCGATATTTTACATAAGATTTTTTTTCTAACAAGGAGATTAAAATAATTAAGGCTCCCCTCAAAAAAAGTCAATTTTCGTGAGAACTGTCAAAATTGAGATAAATACATAGGAAAATAGTCCGTCGTCTGCTCTTTCAAAATCAATAAAAATTTTTCCTAAAACCTCCATTTTTTCTAGAAATATTTCAAAATTTCAGAGAACCAGTTTTTGAAAAACCAGCGGTTTTTTGAAATATCCAAAAATCTTTTTCGTTTTTTCTCATTTTTCGCTTTCTCGTACGCGCATCCCAAATTTCTCTTTCATAGTTCATCCAATGTATTAATTTTTTTTTGTTTTGTTTGAAAGAGCATGTCAAGACGCCGGGCCCTGCGTCGCCCTTTTTTTTGAAATACTCCTTTTCTTTAGTCAATATAAAGTCAGTAATATAATTTGATTACCATTTTTTGATAAATATTTTAGTCATTAAACTTGTAACTTATTTTTTCCGATTAAAAAGGAGGTATTTCAAAAAAAGGGCGACGTAGGGCTCTGCATCTTGACACGCTCTTTCAAGCGAAAAAAAAATATTAATATAGTGGACGAACCGTTAAAGAGAAATTAATTCTTTCAACGTATCTAACATCTTTCAGAATGATAATAATGAACTTTGTTTAGTACTATATTATATCGCCAGTTATATTCCACAAACCA